ATTCATATTTTGATCAATCATTGTCATATTGTTTTGTTCTGTCAAGAGATAGTACCAAGCGTAATTACAATTCCAAGTATGTAGATTGAATGCATATTTTCGGGTATTTTAGCCACACACAGAACCCTTTTTATTTATGTTTTGTCTTGCTTCATGTGCATTCTATTGACTACGAGTAAAACAATAAACGTAGAAATGCACCAGATTATGTCTGAGTTGTGTCTCTTTGTGTGATGACCATCACAATGATAAAAACGTAAATCATAATAAAGAAAAATCACATACATTTCCGTCCTCACACCAACGTCTGGCCTTAAGACATTTTAACAAAACACAAACACGAACTTTTGCTTGATAATATCCAAGTATACATGCTCAACTCGAAAACAAATTCTATTTTCACTAACATTGGAAAACTCTGAAGTGTAATATTAAGATAACAGATATTGGAAACACTTATCATGCTGATTATTGTACATTCGAGTCAGAATCGACAACAATATGTTGGTACATATGAGGTTCTTGATGAATAATCAGTCATATTATGATATGGTATTGTCCATGATTGTCTTGTACATTTCTGGAAAAAAAACAACTTCATTTTAACTAAATTTCTATTGATTTAAATTCAGGCTTTAAGTATTTAGCTCTTTTGAGATGTATACGTTTCCTTGCGTTCAGTTTATATTTTTTTTTGAACAAAAATTGTTCATTTTATTATAAAACAATACGTTTTTTAACTAAAATATATAGATCCACATCTTAGGGAGTAAGATCGTTGAATAAAAAATCGGACGTATGCATAATCTGTATTGGTAAATCTTAAAACCCAAACATATGAGGTGTATTAAAAGGAACTTTTAAGACAGACAGAAAACGCCGAGCAGAAATCATTTGATTATTTAAATACATATACGTTTTATTTAATAGCAAAACAAACGATGTCGATATAAACTCATAACACAAAATTGGTACACGCACAGTATTAAACTCGCCCAAAGCAAAGGAATAGCGATTGTGTTGCTGTTTCCCTTCTTAAAGTCACAGTAAGGGTTTTGATACGGATCAGCAAATGTATGAAATTGAAATATAATTGTTTTAGTATGTTTTATTAAATGTCGTTTTAATATTTATATTCAATGATGTCATGCTTTTTTGTTTGTTATCTTTCATTATTTCCTTTTTATTTAATTTTTGATGATTTTGTCGAATTTCATTACAATTTGTGTTTTACTTAATGTAAATCATCTTTCTGACATTTTCAGTGAGGTGTCTTCCTTTATAAAATATAACACGGAAGGTAAATTACATAAGTTTATATTATAGTTCATTAATGAAGTCTCTCATAAAATTTATTGCATGCTTAATTGCTTCGACAAAAAATAATTTAGAATTGTATTTCAGCACACAAAAATCACGTGACTAATATTTATGCTCCTTTTTCAAATAAAACGGTTAAGAACTGAAATGAGCAATACAAGTATATACCGTATCTGTTCAAAGTAATTAAAACTTAGTTGTGTTCCAACACGATATAGAGATTTAACATTGTACTACGGAAACAATGTCATCTTTACAAAATTCAAGATTACATTAAATATGAAGAAAAAGGGTTATCATGGAAGACACTAAATGAACTGCTTCGTAATTGCAATAAAAATAGACAATTCAAATAGCCTTGGTGATGTTATAAAGGGTTTATTTTCTATTGGTTGATAAAAGTGGCTCCTGGTAACACTTGGCTGATCCAGACAATCAGCTTCAAAATGACATTTCAATAACAATATTCTTGATTGTATGACTAAAATTTTCAATCGTAAGAACATATATACATATAGGTTGCATTTCTGTAAATATAGACAATGTAAGTTCCTATAGAATGTCCTTTTACGGAATTTAATTTATAAAATTTCCGATAGATATATTCATACAAATAAATTGATCAGCAATATACTGAGTTCACCTGCGTATGGAGTAGTCATTTGTCAACACATACAGTACTCAAGACCTTACAAAGGTTTCTCGGATTTTATAAAACGGTGTTTGAGGGGGAAAAAAGCTAGAGTTTTTTTGTCAAAAAAATCCTTGATACTTATTTCCCGTTTGCAGTTATAAAATTGAGAATGGAAATGGGGAACATGTCAAAGAGACAACAACCCGACCAAAGGGCACATTTATTTGTCGCTGTACTAATATGCAAATTGTAATTCGTATGAATTTGGCTCGGTATTTTTATTTTGTTTACCCACGTATTTGTTTTTTACTTAATTTGTAAAGCATATTTGCCATCATTTACCATCATCATCGTCTTTGTGAGGTATATATTTTTGTTTGACTTTTTTTATGCTGTATATCTAAGATGTTCGATTGTATGTGGCTGCTAGACCTCAGTTATTGCCACCCTAACCAATGATTTGTGTTTGCGTTGCTCGGACAACTGAGTCATTGTAACGGAACAATATACAACTGTCAACAGTAAAATGTTAAGCAAGCTAAACGACAATCTAATTCATCGTTTTCTCTGGAAAATGCATGTAGCAAGTCAGAAATATGACAGTTGATTTACAGTTTTTCTGTTGATTTACAGTCTTTTCGTTGATTTATAAAATATAGTCGAGCGAGCGTTTTGAATTTGTCAAGGCTACAACTTTTTGAATATATCTTAAAATTCGGTGGTGTTGTTAATATAAATAAGTTTTGACTACTAACACAGTTCTTGCATGGTCGACCTATTAGTTCAAGCTTAAAACATAATTTAAAGTTGAAGGAGTTAAGTATGATTGTTGTCTTCCTAGTGTTTCAAATGAGTATCAGTATGTAATGCTCTGGTGAGTTTGTCAGCAAAATAAACCCTTTCCGTATGCATGCCCCGTCGTGTGAACTCACATTAAAAAGAAATGTCTCAATCTCGAGTAGTACATAATATTGATCGGTTATATAAATATCAGATCAGAAAACCATTTATAAAACGGCTTAGAGACGTGAGGAGCTGTTTCATCAACATTAAACTGTTTGACTAAAGGTGTCAACGTCAAAATGTGATAACAGAACTAACCAAGCTTTCTTCAATTGGGACAATTAATGGTAAATATTAAAGGGAGGAAAAAGTCTGGAAAAAGAAAGATAATAGGATAACATCAAATTATGATGTTAAAATAAACATAACTGAATAATCGAAAAAGCATAAAGGATATCCTGTCGTTCTTTTAATGAAATTAATTGATAATTAAACTTATGTATTATTTGAAAACATTATAGGCAGACACACCTATCCAACAAAGCTGAGTCGAGACTGTTCCAGAGTAGAAAAGTCGGCATAAGTCCTAAAATAGAATTAACTGAATCAGTTAAGAGATAGATCTTCAAAATACTTATATTGAAAAGAACTTCAAAAACTTAAATTTAATATAAAAAAGAAGATGTGGCATGAGACAACTCTCCAAAAGGGACCAAATGGCACAGAACTAGATAAAAAAAAGGACAAAAGCAATACTAAGATTCGGCTTTGGACTAGAACGATACTAAGAGTAGACTTTGGACTAGAACGATACTAATAGTAGGCTTTGGACTAGAACTATACTAAGAGTACGCTTTGGACTAGAATAATAATAAGAGTCGGCTTTGGACAAGAACGATACTAAGAGTCGGCTTTGGAATAGAACGATACTAAGAGTCGGCTTAGGACTAGAATGATATTAAGAGTTGGCTTTTGACAAAACGATACTAAAAATCGGCTTAGGACTAAAACAATACTAACAGTCAGCTTAGGACTAGAACGATGCCACGAGTCGGCTTAGGACTAAAACAATACTAACTGTCGGCTGAGGACTAGAACGATACTAAGAGTACTAGTCGGCTTAGGACTTGAACGATACCAAGAGTCGGCTTCGGACTAGAACGATACTAAGAGTCGGCTAAGGACTAGAACTATAATAAGAGTCAGCTTAAGACTAGAACGATACTAAAAGTCGATTTAGGACTAGAACGATATTAAGAGTCGGCTTTGGTCTACAACGATGCCATGAGTCTGGCTTAAGTTTAGTGTCCGTTTGTGTATGACTAATAAATTAACATTCTGCAATGCGGAAATCATATTCCATGCAATGTGGAAGATAAATTCCAATTTTAAAGCATTCTAAGTGTGGTCTGTTGCATGACAAAATGCATGCTTTTTCCAGCAACCCCCACCCCCCTCCCCCCATTTCTAGGTAGAGTTCATACTTTTCTGTTTTATCATCATAATCTCCACCCCATTTTCTTAATAATTTTATATTTGCATTGTGTCATAGATCAAATGTTTACGTTTAGTGTTTGTTAGCTGTATTTGCAAAAAAAAAAGAGAGACACTGATGAGTCTCTTGTAGACGAAATGCGCGTCTGGCGCACATATAAAATTTCAACCCTAGTATATATAATTAGTTCATTTAGTTGTGTGTGTTAACATATCTTTTGATTGAGGAAAGCCATTGTAATTGATATTTTATAGCGTTTCTTTTGATGGTATGGTGTTGCATTCAGGCTACAGTGACGGTTTGCGCCTGTAAAAATATTAAAACAGCTGCATCTGTTTGTATCCGTCCTAAGTCCGGAACCTGTTGTTCAGTGGTGGTCGTGTGTTGATTTGGTTATTAATTTTGTCTCGTTTTTTGTTTTTATATAGCTTAGACCGTTGGTTTTCCTGTTTAAATTGTTAAACTAATATTTTGTGGGGTTCTTTATAGCTTGCTGTTTGATGTGAGACAATGCTCTGTGTTGAAGGGCGTACTTTGATCTATAGGGGTTTACTTGTTACAAATTATGGATGGAGAGTTGTCTCACTTGCACTCACACAACACCGTTTTATATCTATATAAAGTTGAAAAAAAATTACATATCGTGTGACGTATAAAAATAAAGCTAAAATTGAAAATAGAAATGGGGAATGTGTCAAAGAGACAACAACCCGACCAAAGAGCAGATAACAGCAGAACTTAATTTGATGACATATCATTAGTTGTCTTTTATCTCTAATAAATAAATCGACAATTGTGATTCTGTAACCATGAAGGTACGCATTGTTTATTTCCCTGAACGATCAAAGGTTTACGGAACATGTGAATATTAATAAAAATAATTCGATTTAAGAAAATATATATCAAAGTTCATATACTGTATGGATAAACTGTACACTGCAATATGAACAACGCAATTGAAAAATCTCAGTTTTAGTAATTTAATGTATATGATTTGTACTCGGTGGGACTTTACTAACACAATACCTATATACATTTGTACTATCTATTAGTCTCTACAATGGTTAGACACACACCAATTTATTGATGAACAATTGTAATCTTACTACGTAAGCATAATAGAACAAAGTAAACAAGTAGAATGTAAACACTTGCTATAACCTCAGCGTAAGGGAACCATACAGGCGTGAAAAGGTCAATCAGATACCCTATTATGATTGGTGTTACCATAGTACCAATTGAACCTAGAAACATAATTACTGAAACTATCTTTCCAGTAACTTTTAAAAAGTCTTCTTCTATCCAGAATAACAACAAAGGAAACAAGATTGACTGGCAAAATCCAGACATAGGTACGAAAATCCAAATTCCGATGTCTTTTTGATATAATGTGGTGATCATTAGTCCGAATGAAGAAAGTGTCAAAACATTTATGTACGTAGCAAGAACTTTGTCTGTCTTAAATCGATGCGTTATCATGATCCCCGATAACCTACCAATAGCAACGACCGCCCAGTATGCAGAAGCTGCATAATAACCTTGCGGCTGCGTCCATAGCATATGCCCAAGTGTAAATGTTGGCAAAAAGAAAACCATTGCTTTTCATAAACAAATAAAACCAGAAGGTTGCACACATTAATGATAAACTCATTAAACGGATAGATCTTGGCAAATCCTTCGTTACACGAGGTGGGTATTGATCGTCCGTCTTGTTGGTTTGTTTTGTCAAACGGCAAAGGAAATACAAAAATAAAAAAACTACAGATAAGAGCAAAGATGGCAGTTATCGCGAATGCAAAATGTACTGACGAATTATGTGTCTCTTGCGATTTAATTATTCCAGATTAAAAACTTGCACTGCAGTTTTCAGTGAGCTTAGGAAAGTTGCTAATGTTGGAATATTTAGATGTGTGGTTGACATCATGCACATGAATGCCAAGAAACGGAGCTGTAGCTAACGGTGATATTATTCCACCAACAGCGTACATAAAATGTAGAGCTTGCATGTACGGTCCATTATGTTTACCCCATATGTCAAGTACCATGATATTGCAGTCTACAATATAGTACAGGTAAATATGTCAGTAAATTTTTTGAAAAACATATTCATGTCTCATGTCGTATCTGAAAATATAAATTTGGCTAGTCAGGTTTCATGAAACAAGGATCTTTAGTAGAGTTGTTTGTTGGACGAAAAACATGAAACGAAAATATGAGCGATATAAGTGTTTTAGGGGCCCTTTGCTCGAAATGATATTTATAAATCTAAATTACTTCTATCTGATAAGACTGCAGAATAAACATAACCCTTTGTAGCACAGGTTGTACAAATTTATCACGCGTACTGGCTATTTAAATCGTTATTATATCCCCAACTGAAAAGATAACATACTGCAATTTTTTATAAAATTTCTCAAAATTGAACCTCTTACATGTTTTTTTACCTAAAAAACAAAACACATCATTATGGAGTGAGTTTAAAACTATCCCATTTAATATCGACGAATAGATCAAAACATTTTTGATCAAGGGACATTCCAGAACATTCAGTGCATGTTAAACACTGAACCTTCTGATTACCGTATTAAATATTAATTACAAACGTAAAATACAAGCGAAAAAAACACCGACAACACGTTTCTCAAATGACTTAAAATATGGCGATATAACACCACAGCAGTGCTGTTAATTAAGTTGTACTAGGGACGGTACATGTGGAAGGCACAAATACCTTCAATATAAAGTGCATCAACATAAATATGTGAGTTAGAAGTTTCCCACGTTCTGATTTTATGTTTGGATAAGCACTGCATATTTTTTTTTATAATACCATATTAATGAATTTTCACAGTTATTTGAAAATAAACTCATAGCATATAAATAAACATACTGACAGTCAAGCATGCCGTCTTACAATACAATGCACGCTCTTCACCCTAAACCTATATGTACATTTGTATGTAGAGTAGTGTTGTTGTTCTTGATATAATGTATCACAAATCGCTTACTTTATGCTAAACACAAAACGATGTAGTGCACGGGTTACTTTGAAAACAATATAACGAAATTAACTTAAATTTTTATAATTCATACACACCTGCATCAATAACACCTCTAGCACTGCCACGTATAAGAAACAATATCATCATTAAAACGTAATATTTACACCATTGGATTACCGCTGTCAAAACAGCAAATACAGCAGTTAGTATTGACATAGTTATCATCTGGTGTCCATTCGTTTGATGAGCTTTCGATGTTGCCATTTGATTAGGGACTTTCCTTTTTGAAGTTTCCTCGGAGTTTAGTATTTTTGTGATTTTACTTTTGAGTAGTAAACAAACAAGCCTTGGTCATTTGAAGTACATGTTCAAATACATACACTTAATTAATTGAGGTCTGGAGCTGGCATGTCAGTAACTGCTAGTAGTCTGTTGTTATTTATGTATTATTGTCATTTTGTTTATTTTTCTTTTGTTTCCTATTCTGACATCGGACTCGGACTTCTCTTAAACTGAGTTTTACTGTGCGTACTGTTGTACGTTTGTTTTTTTACATTGGCTAGAGGTATAGGAGGAGGGTTGAGATCTCAAAAAACATGTTTAACCCCGCCGCATTTTTGCGCCTGTCCCAAGTCAGGAGCCTCTGGCCTTTGTTAGTCTTGTATCATTTTTAATTTTAGTTTCTTGTGTATAATTTGGAGTGTAGTATGACGTCCATTATCACTGCACTAGTATACATATTTGTTTAGGGGCCAGCTGAAGGACGCCTCCGGATGCGGGAGTTTCTCGCTGCATTGAAGACCCATTGGTGGCCTTCGGCTGTTGTCTGCTCTATGGTCGGGTTGTTGTCTCTTTGACACATTCCCCATTTCCATTCTCAATTTTATTAATTTTACATAAATAAATACGAACTCATTGCCTAAATTGTGACATTCTTTAGAGATTAATTCAATTCTATTTTTTGTAGTAATGTTAACATGAAAATGAAACATACTATTTCACATTAATGATTTTAATCATGCAAGTTTAGGCTCATCAGATTAAGTTTAAGCACGAAAAGAAAAATTATAAATGCAACAGTAGTATACCGCTGTTCGAAAGACAAAAACAAATCCTGATTGCAAACTAAAACCGAGAGAAACACATCAACTATAAGAGGAAAACAACGAAACAACAGAAACACTGAAGTGAAAAAAAAAAACAAACGACAACGCAACACACACAAAAACGAACTATAAGATAACAACTGTCATTTTCCTGACTTGGTACAGAACATTTTAAGAAAAAAATGGTGGGTTGAACCTGGTTTAGTGGCTAGCCAAACGACGCATTTTTATGGCAATGTTAAATATAACACTAAAATGACACTATTACGTGACAGGTTCACTGGGCTATTAATAGCGAGGGATTTGTATTTTAAACAGTGTCAAACAGTGATTGTATTTATAGAGCCAATAAATGTAGATACGATCCGTGTACACTTTTCGATTTCTAACTTAAATTCGTTACAAACGAGATGTCACATTGTTAGTTTGCTATTTTTAAACATTGTCAAACCAGATACTACGTCCTTGTTTTTAAGATCATGTAATATTGAAATGATATCTTTTTATGGTAGCTTTATAAGTACTCAGATTTATTTGCTATCCATGTTAGCATTACATAAAAAAAACATAACTAAACATTGTTGCTATACAGCTATCAAAATATATGGTCCTACATTCCGGCGATACTTTTTGAATTTAACAAGCTCATGCGTGTCTCCGAATGTTTATGACGGTTTTACATTATTGATTGATATGGCAGTCTGTAATACATGTCTTCTTTAAGTAGTCATTGACACTGATCTAGCTTTCTGTAACTCCGATTACACTTTAATTGGTGTTTATTTTCTTGCGTCTATTTGTTAGGTTTTTTTTAGGTGTTTTGTGTAGATCTGATGGATTAATCCTTTTCCAACTGTATATTGTTTGTTTTGATTATGATGAAGTTCCGTTATATCACTGTTCCAGCTAAGGAGAGGGCCGAGAGCCCGCAAACATATACGTACATGTGTAGCTCCGCCATATCATCATATACATTGTGTATATGCCTGTCAAAATTCTGAAAACTTTTTTTTTTGTATTGATTGTTTGTTGCTGTATGTCTTTTTTCGTAATTGTTTGTACACTAATCGCGACATAAGTTTATTTGTTTAAATTTTTATACATGAGCCATTTTGGGACTTTTTAATGATTGCTATGCGCTGTGTTTTTCACGTTTTTAAAGATCATAATATGACCTATATTTGCTACATTTCTTCTCCGTTTGATAGTTTTCTAAAAGAACAAACCACATCTTTATTGCATATAGTAATTAATCCCTTATAATGCAAATCATGTAATAATTATATCAGGTTGTTTTCTACATCTTACTACTCATCAAACACATACTTAACCAGGATAAAGCCAAAGGTTGATACAAGTTGTTTCTGAAAACCATATCTGTACGAAGTCGAATAAATACGCTAGGTTGAAACGTTGCATCTAGTTGTTCTTCCTTCTAGCCATTGCTTGTAGAACCTATTTCATTCAAAACAATTGTTTCAGATTCAATTTCGACATTGTCAGACATATTTCTAAATATTGGAATACGAATAAAACTAAATCAGCGAAGATAAAGCTTACCTTTATACATTATACACATATATTAGTGCTATCATGACAATTTATGTGACAGATTATGATAATAATCAGTAGTGTTTACAAGCTTTACTTAGTAATCATTTTCACCCTTAAAAGAGTGTAAATGTCCTTAAAAGTGTAAGTTTACATATGTTTGTGTGTGTCGTATGGTTTGTGACACATTCATGAATGCCTTCACCTTTTAGTTTTATATTTTTCATGATTATAGTTAAAACACTTAGCCGAAGCGATACGTGTGTTTTATGTATCAGGAGCTTAAAAGAAGGCAGTTGACATCTACCCTACAACATACAAGGACTAAAGATTGAGGTGATATCAAAGATAATTGTAGCATGCGTATGCTGATCATTCGAATTCGTAGTTGACTACACGCTTTCTAGTTTGCATATCAGTGAATTGTACTGATAGTAAGTTGTCTCATTTTTACTCTGTGATTTAAGGTTTTTTGTCAGCTAAGCATTATGTAAATGGTACAATGCATTGTTCTACCTCCACAAACGTACAGTTACAACCTTATTTAGTACCAGGAAAAAGAACAGCTCTTTTGCCGTTCCTAATCAATTACAGTTTTTTTTTCCAAAGCCAATGTATTGGTATGTACACAATTATTTTACAATTACATATCAAACTGACAATGTCTATTGCGATATTATTCATTTCTTTATTATTTTGTTTTCCTGTATTTGTAATTATAGATCGGTCTGCAGTCCAATTAAAACAAAAGGAGAGCAAGATCTGATTAAAAAGGAGTTGTCACGAAATCAATGGTAATCTATCTTAGGTAAATACATGTAGCAATTTGCAAATTTCTTATTTCTAAGTATCTTATATATTTTAAATTGTTGTCAATGCTTCGAACTTTTTTCTGTCTTATTGACTATACTCTAGTATTATTGAATATATATAAAAGCTTCTGCTGATATACAATTTTTTATTATTGACTTTCTTCTTTTCTTCTGTACTGTTTTAAAACATACTATCAATACAAGTAAGTTAATGTTAAATCTTTTAAAATCTGTATTAGTCGGTTTGCTAATATGAATTTTCAGAACAGGATTTCCTGTTCTTGTTTCAACAAGACGACTGTCTATCAATAGTCGCATTTTTATAATTGGTAGTTGATCGTTAAGTTGAATGATCAAACGACATTGCTATACATTAGTATAGCAGTTTAAGAAAAAATTGTCAGTTTTTAAAGTTATACTGAAACAGAAATCTCGGGATATAACATCTATTATTGTCGAATACAAGACATGAACAAATATAATTTAGGTATACCTGTATTTTTTTTTATTTTCATCGAACAAATTTGACTTTTGGTAAATTGCATGAATTGTCCATTTGTCATTTTTCGTGTGGATATACGATATGCTGTACATAAAAATGTAGTAAAGATACCATGCGTAATACCTTCATACGAAGAAATGAAAACGTGTGTCATTGTTTGTTTTATTTGAAAGATAAGCCATTGTCAATACGATTTCTAGTTTTGATACATGGCATTAATTGCCAGTAATTTTACATATGATATTCGTTGTATTTCGCTTTTCTAAGTTGTCAATAATTCATCTCGTATTGATCTTTTTAAACTTATTATTGTAAATACTGTTTAATGAAAACGTAGTACCTTTGAAAATCATCCACCTTCATAGATGGACTGTCGTTTGAAATGCTGTATTTTGATTTTACTAAACTAAAAAAAAGGATGTTTGCAACCTTTTGAATAGTAATATAAGACCTAAAACTGCGTATGGATTTCTCTAACATCATAAACATTATAATGATACAGTTGTAATCCTCCTTTTGAACTTTTTTTATTCGAGCGTCACTGATGAGTCTTTTGTAGGCGAAACGCGCGTCTAGCTCAAATACAAAATTTCAATCCTGGTATCTATGATAAGTTTATTTAAAGATTATATCGTTATTCCATTTCAATATATTATTTTTTTATAATAGAGGAATACGTGTTTACAGTTTAATCTCTGAACAATTACTGACCTAATATAAAGATTACTTTCTAAATTCCTAAGATGATACCTTTCAACCATTTAATTCTGACATGTGTTTTCTATCATTTATTACTCCTATGTAGATGTTACCAATTTTACTCTAAAGTACACTAGCCACAATAAGCTTCTATTATTTCCCTGTGTGATTCATATCTTCTAAACAGTGATATATTTTATACAAAAAACTAATTATAAGATGTGATCAGTTATTAGACAATATTTATTTATCCTATGACCAAGAGTATTGCAGTTACATATCTCATTTTGCATTGACATTGCAGGTAGCATTTACGTACATTTTTTACAAATATATTGCGTAGACCATGGACAAAATTTATTGGTTTAATTTGTTTTAGAAATTATCGGTTGTGACTAAGAACCCATGAAAAGCATATAAATATCGCAAAAAAACAGTCACGAGATTATTTTTTTTTCATTGTTTTTTTCATTTAACAAAAATAATCACATTTTTATGGAGGAAAATGTATGGTTTGAATAAATTTCTTTATAAAAAAAAAGAAGATGTGGCATGATTCCCAATGAGACAACTATTCACCAAAGTTCAAATGTAGGTGTAAGCTATAATTAGAGACTGATATGTATGGTCCGCTTTACAATCTTTTAACAGAGTAGAACATATGAAGAAGGATTAATTAAAGAATGTATAAAATGGCGTGCATTTTCTTATATTAATATTTATTTGTAGTATATAAACAAGATATTTTGTTCTTCGTGTAAATATCTTGAAAACAGTTTCTATAAAATTGGAATTAAATCCGTTGTTGGTTGATTATATTATAATATCCGCTCTTATTGATATTTAATTCCCTACTGTAAAGTAAAATAAAAGTTTTGTTTTCATCACGAAGACCAAACAAATAAAATTCATTTGCATTCCCAAGCTTGTAACATGTGAAATCAAACATATGGCAGTATAAATAATTCATCGTCTTATATCAACGACTTAATTGTTGTCGCACTTGAATATTTTTCAAGGTATATGTACATGAGCACTTGCTCATTTAATTAGCATAAAAAAAATATGAAAGAAAAACCGATGTGCTACGAAAGATTTAACATTCTGAGAGTAGTCAATTCATAAACAAGCCGTGAAATCAGCTACCTTTATTCTATAATCACTAATTACATTTTTAAAACTTCTTTGATTGATAAATGCAATAGTAAGATTTGGATGTTTAATGCATACCTTTGGTGAATCAGGAACAACTTCATCCCGCTTCTGTATTGGAATCATGCTGTTCGATTCTATTTTTTATTGGGTTAAAATAGGGAATGAAGATTTCAAGGGAACATCAAAATTCAATTAATAAAATGTGTTCTGTCCTTTGTCAATTTTAACCATTTGGTATCTTCTTCCTTAGTTTCAGGAGAAACAGTTTTAAGTAGGAAACATGAATCCACTATTTCTTGGTTTGAAGTAGTGTTTTGTGGAAAATATCGTTAATCAAAACAAATCTAGTATCATGTGTTTATCCTTGTCATTGTATTAAATAAGCCGCATTCAGAGAATTCCGGTAAATTATCGACGGTTGCTAAAATTTTTGATTTTCTAAAAAGTTTGTTCTAAAACATTACTGAAAAGACAAGTAGTGTTCACCTGTATATCTGGAGCAATACATTGGTACCGTTAATTGTATTGACGTGTACGAATGGTTAAATGACGTCTAAAGAAGCCATTTGATTTGTTTCAAAGATAATCGAATAAACTAGTCAATTCAATTGACGAAAGCCTCCCTTTGTGACCGCTATCATTTGTAGAATAAGGTCGAAGTATTGATGGTTTGGTCACGTTTACGATAGTTACAAAAAACTTGAACATTTCTGAACATTTCTACTTGCATCATTCATATAAAGGACTTTGCCGAACATGTTACATTTATTTGTAAATAAATTACATTTCAGATGGGCCCTAGTTTGCAAGAATCTATTAAGAAATAAAAAAAAAATACAATGGTAACAATACGTGTTTTCTTATAAGCGAGCCAGATAGAGTTTTCGGACGAACGAAATCAATTTTTTCTAAGTGCCAAACTCAATAACGGAAAGTGATATCTAAACGGAGTATGGTGAATGTGACCTTCTGCGAAGCCCTCCCCTCCATTTGCCCTCAAACTTTCAACTGGCAGCAACCCCTACGTAAACACCGATTTTCAGACTGCGAGCCATAAGGAGTTATGACAAATTTAAGGTTACAAGTCGGAAGTAATGCTGTTGAGTAGCACTCTGCTAAAGATCATTCGACCAAAATGTAATAATAATTTGCAAAACAAACGAACGAAATAAATTGCCATTAAAATTAAAATCTTTGATTATACAGATAAAGTAAATACTTTGTCCACATAATTGCATATGGTGTGATGTATAAATATAAAGCTAGAATATACATATCATGATATATCATGGTAGGTTTTTATCGCTCGTTTGCAAATCCCCGAACAAATGATATTATGAAACCATGAAGGAATCCCTGAATTGCTACCCATGACAGTTTAGGGTTTATGTAACAGGTGAATATTGAACATTTAAAAAAACTTATCAAAGTGCATATACTGAATAGATAAAATATACACTGGAATATGAACCACGTTCAGTTTGTAATTGATTAATCAGATTTTTAGAAATTTAATTTGAAAAATGTATTGAACTCAAGCAGTATTTATTAACACAACTACGGCTATGTAAACCCACTGTCTCAAATTCTATTTTAAGTCGTTATTATCTATCGTTGTCTGCAACGGTTAAACATTCAAGAATTTCTCGATGAATATTTTGAATCTTACTACGTAAGCATAATAGAACAAAGTAAAGAAGTAGCAAACAAACACTTGCTAAAACTTCAGCGTAAGGAAACCACATAGGCGTGAAAAGGTCAATCAGATACCCAAGTATGATTGGTGTTACCATGATACCAACTGAACCTAGAAACATAATCAGTGATACTATCTTGCCGGTTACTTTGAAAAATTTTCTTCTATCCAGGATAATAACAAAGGAAATAGAATGGACTGGCAGAACCCAGACATTGGTACAAAAGTCCAAACTCCGATGTCTTTTTGATATAATGTTGTAATCATCAGTCCGAATGAGGAAATAGTTAATCCAGTTAAGTACGTAGCAAGAACTTTGTCTGTCTTATATCGATGGGTTATGCTGATCCCTGATAATCTACCAATAGCAAAGGCAGCCCAGTATGACGTAGCTGCATATGAACCTTGAGACTGTGTCCAGTGCATATGTTCAAGTGTAAATGTTGTCAAAAAGAAAACCATAGCTTCTTCGAGGAACAAATAAAAGCAAAACGTTGCACACATTAATGAGAGACTTATTAAACGTATAGATCTTGGCAAATCCTTTGTTACTCGAGATGGGATATGGTTGTCCTTTCCGCTGGTTTGTTTTGTCGAATGGCAGAAGGAGCACACAAATACAAAACTACAGCTAAGAGCAAAAACGGCAGTTATTGCGAATGCAAAATGTACTGACGAATCATGAGTCTCTTGCAATTCAATAATTTTAGATTTTAAAGTTGAACTTAAGTTTTCACCGAGCTTTTGAACGTTGCTTATATTTGTATATGTAAAGGTTTGGTTGTCAAAATGCACATGAATGCTCAGAAACGGAGCTGTAGCTAACGGGGATATTATACCACCAACTGCGTACATAAAATGTAGTGCTTGCATGTAAGGTCCATTATGTATCCCCCATATCTCAAGTACCTTAATTTTGCAGCCTACAATATAGTACAAATAAATATGTCAACTAATTTAATGACTATGCAATGTGTCGTTCCTGAGACAACATATTGACAGTTCAGGTTTAATGAAACACGGGCAGTGCGAGTCAGTTATAGCACCTTTCGTAGAGAGTTGAGGTTAATTGTATATGTACATGAACATGAAACGGACCGTTAATTGTATTGACGTGTACGAATGGTTAAATGAGATTTAAGTTTTTCTATCTGTTTATTGAAGGGCCTCTTTACTCGAGATGCATGTTTTGAAATCTCTTTTATCTGATAATACCACATAATAAGCATATTCTTTGTGTTGTGTTACAATTATGCTTATTTGAAATGCGTATTATCTATTCATTTCGTTCGTATATCCCCACTGTTCTGTAATATACCGCTTTGGGTATGTTCGTCCCTTTGTCCGTCTGTTTATCCATTCTGCATAACTTTTTTTGTCTGGTTAGTAAAATAATGTTACGGAATGTCTTGTTGAGTATCTTAAAATGTAAAATTTTCATATACGTTATTTATAACAATTGAATGATATCCTTGATTTTATAACGCTTGTAATAGCATGTTAGTGTCACTTCAAAGTATGAAAGAAAACGATTGCAAATCATAATGTGTTGAGACTAAACGGAGATGATTTGCATGCGACTAATAGACGATAACCAAACGACGGTACATTTAAATTAACATAAATCAGACTTAATTTAAACATACTTTCATCAACAAATGACAAGTGTTCACTAAACCAAGTGTCGAAACATTGTAAATGACGGAACAAGAGTATTGCTTTACAATATACTTGCATGAAATTTTTCAAAAGACAAAAAAAACATAAATTTCACAAAATACAACCGCTAACATGTTTTTAAAATCAGAAAAAAACACGCACAAAAACAACACTATCGACAGTTAAAAACTGTCCTAAATGATGGTGGAGAAAGGGACATCCCAGAACATTCAGTATACTGTGGATTCATTTATTTTCGTGGGTATCAATTTACGCGGATTGAGTAAAACTTACATTTTCGTGGATATTTGATTTCGTGGTTTTGCCAATCTCTGCATACAAAGCCTATTGAAAAATTGTAATTCGTTCAACATTTAAATTCGTTGTTCACCTGTTCCCACGAAACCCACGAAAATTGGTATCCAACGAATAATAATGAATCCACAGTATTGTAAACACTGAATATTCTAATAACCGTAATATACATTATTTACAAACGTCAAATACAAGATAAAAATGACGAATATAAGATTTGCTTGGGACTATTCATGTGTAAGGTCTTTTTATCCAAACAAAAAACTTAACATGCTCATATCAAATCATGCTTACCAACAATCAAATCATGCTCACCAACAATCAAATACAAGCTCTACACTAATAACCTACATTAAAATGTGTTTGTACATTTGTTTTGCTTGATACAAAGTATCGTTTATCGCATGTTTTAAGGTATACACGTGACAGTGTAGCGCACATTGTAAACATTATAAGGAAGTTAACTAAAATTTCAATAAATCGCACACACCTGCATCACTTACTCCTCTAGCACTTCCACGTACAAGAAACAATATTATCATTAAAACGTAATATTTACACCATGGGATCACCGCTGTCAAAATAGCGAATACCGCAGTTAGTGTTGACATAGTTATCATTTGGTGTCTTTTTCTGAATATCCATCCTGCAACTAAAGCTCCGAGTAGATATCCTAAGGATAGAGCTGTTAGGTAATATGAAGCCTCATTTAATGTTGTACTTGTCATGACTCGTAAATCGGGTAAAACTGGTCCAAGTTGTCCTGCATTCCATCCCTGTCAAACTAAAGTATTATTAATTTTTTGAAATGCTGGAACTCGAATAGTAAACAACCAACTTTTGATAATTTGAAGGACATGTACAAATAAAAAAAAAAGAACATAGATACATACGACGAATTTTCTAAATAGTGCATCTCTTTAGTAATGCATTTATTGATTCCTAGCATAAATGCATTACTAAAGAGATGCACATTTTAAGTTCGCTATTGATAGTATTTTAAACGTTGTTTAACTGGATATCATGTCCTTTTATACGATCATGTGTTTGAAATAGATAGACAATTTAGAGAAGACCCATGTTGCCTAGTTGATTCTTTGATTGAACGTTTACTAAAAGGTTTGCATTTACTATACAGATTATATCTGTAAATGTTAATTTGATAAGTACGCAAATTGAAATGATGTGTTATTAAAATGTTAAAACATAATTGAGCATTATTGCTATACAGCTTTGAACATTTACAGTCCAATACTCTGTCGAAACATTTTTGGCATTGCACAAGCTTCCAAGTTTCTTTCACGGTTTACGACGCATTTTGCATTAAATTCATTTGACTTGTAGTGATTGATATCGTAGTATTAAAAACATTACTTCTTTCTTAGTTGTCATTCACTATGAGCTAGCTATCAGCAACTGCAAAAACTCTTAAATCGATTTACAATATACTGAATATTCTGGGATGTCCTTTTCTCCACCATCATTTGGGACAGTTTCAAACTATCGATAGTATTGTTTTGTGCGTGTTTTTTCTGATTTAAAAAAATGTTAGCGGTTGTATTTTGGGATATATTTATGTTTTATTTGTCTTTTAAAAATTTCATGTAAGTATATTGTAAAGCAATACTCTTTTACCGTCAATTATATTGTTTCGACACTTGGTTTAGTGAACACTTGTCATTTGTTGATGAAAGTATGTTAAATTCAAGTCTGATTTATGTTAATTTAAATGTACCGTCGTTTGGTTATCGTCTATTAGTCGCATGCAAATCATCTCCTTTCAGTCTCAAGACATTATGATTTGCAATCGTTCTCTTTCATACTTTGAAGTGACACTAACATTCTATTACAAGCGTTATAAAATCAAGGATATCATTCAATCGTTATGAATAACGTCCATGAAAATTTAACATTTAAAGATAATCAATAAGACATTCCATAATATTATTATACTAACCAAACAGAAAAGGTTATGAAGAATGGATAAACCGACGGACAAAGGGACGAACATACCCAAACCGGTATATTACAGAACAGTCGGGATATACAAACGTAAGGAATAGATAATACGCGTTTCAAATAAGCATAATTGTAACACAACACAAAGAATATGCTTATTATGTGGTATTATTAGATAAAAGAGATTTCAAAACATGCATCTCGAGTAAAGTGGCCCCTTAATTAACAGACAGAAAAAACTTAAATCTCATTTAACCATTCTTACACGTCAATACAATTAACGGTCCGTTTCATGTTCATGTACATATACAACTAACCTCAACTCTCTACGAAAGGTGCTATAACTAACTCGCACTGCCCGTGTTTCATTGAACCTGAACTGTCATTTTTTTCTCAGGAACGACACATGGCATAGTCATTTAATTAATTGACATATGTATTTGTTCTATATTGTAGGCTGCAAAATTAAGGTACTTGAGATATGGGGGATACATAATGGATCTTACATGCAAGGTCTACATTTTATGTACGTTTGTTTGGATACCAATTTTCGTGGATTTTGTGGGTAAAGGTGAACCAAGAATTAATTTTTTTAGACGAATAATAAGTTTTCCCTAATCAACGAAAATTGGTACCCACGAAAAAAAAAATGAATCCACAGTATATTATACTTTTTTTCTTTTATTGTTTTGTATATTACCAACACGTACGTAAGCTTTCACGTTTCAAATGTATTACTTGTGCTATTTTGGAGCCTTTTGTAGCATGATAAGCGGCATGTGGTTTACGTGTTGTTGATAGCCGTACATTGACCTTTATTTGCTAAAATTCGGTATTTTCTGACTCTGTTTGATAGTATGGCCTTTGGCGTTATACCACATGTTTTTTCATGTAGTAATGAATTCATAGTAATGCAATTAATGTTAGAATTTTATCTCGTTCTTTTCCATAAATTTCTACTCACCAAACATGCATTTAACCACAATAAAGAAAAAGTCTGATACAATTTGCTTCTGTATATCGTATCTGTACGAAATCGAATAAATATGCTAGGTTGTTTCGTTTCATCAAGTCCTCCCGTTTGACAATTGTTAATAGAACTTATTTCCTTAATCATAATTTTGTTTGATTCATTTTTGACATTATCAGACATATTTCTAAATATTTGAATACGAATCCAGCTTAATCAGCGAATGTTAGTCTTAACTATATACATGAATGATATCGTGACAATTTATTTGACGGTTTGTGATAAGAACCAGTACGTACTGTATATAACCTTTACTAAGTCAGCATTTTAACATTTTAAGGTGTTGAAACGTCTTTTAAAGGTGTGCATTTATATTAGAGTATGTGTGTCTATTGATTGTTGTCGCATTTATGAATACCTTTTCATATTTGTTTTGTACTTTGCATGCGTATTGCCGAAATATGTGGCAAACACGCTGAACTAGATTGCATATGAGTTTTTTTCAAATATCAAGAGCAAAACTGATGCAAAAAAATAGGTAACTTGGCATACAGCAATCCACCAAAATACGTTAACTATAGATTGAGATCATTTATAAAAATATCAACAAATTACTAGATTGCGGCTGACTAAGAAGTAGCTATGCAATATTTATGCTGATCATTCGTTGTTGACTACATATTATTTAGATTACATATCAGTAAATTTGTATTGATAGTAGATTGATGCATTTTAAATTTGTGTTAAACCTATAAGGTATAATCCACAAACGTGCATTAACAACCCAAATCCATAGTAGAAATATGGACAGCTCGTTTGCCGTTTCTTTTCAATTAAATTTGTTTTGCAAAGCCAATGTATTGGTATATACACATAGTTTAGCAATTACATATGAAATTGACAACCTGTCTAAAGCGATATTATTCATTTTTTTTATTATTTTGTTTTCCTGTGTTTGTGCAGTCCAATTAAAACCATTCGATATTTGTTTGAGTGTTAAACAAAAAGAGCAAGGTCTGATTATAAAGGAGTTGTCACAAAATCAATGGTAATCTATCTTAGACAAATAGCATTTGGCAAATATTCTATTTCTAAGTATCGTTTATATTTTTTTTTAATTGTTTTCAATGCTTCAAACTTTGTTTGTTTCTAATTGATTAGACTTTATTATAATTGAATATATATAAAAGCTTCTGTTTATATATAATCTGAAATGAAAAGTATATACAACATTTTTCGCTATCTTCTTTTCATCTGTCCTGCTTTAAAACATACTCTCGATGCAAGTAATTTTTAATATTTAAGAATATGATTTGATTTGATTTTTGGTGTTTTAACGCCACTTTTAAGCACCGCTTTTGGGCTATTTCGTGGCGGCAAGTTTTTATTGGTGGAGGAAGCCGGAGTGCCAAGAGAAAACCACCGACCTTCGATAGGAAAACTGACAATTCGAGTCAATTAAGATTGGAGTCGAGTGCATCCGCACGAGCGGGGTTCGAACTCACAATCTCAGTGTTGACGGGCTAGTGATTACAGTAGTAACTACTTAAACCACTCGGCCACCGAGGCCCTACTTTTAGAATATGTAAAATGTTGTATAATTTTTAATTTTAGTTTCTTTGATATATTTTGGAGTTTACTATGACGTCCATTGAAATAGTATACATTTTTGTAAAGGGGCCAGCTGAAGCACGCCTCTGGGTGCGGGAAAATCTCGCTGCATTGAAGACCCATTGATGGCCTTTGGCTGGTATCTGCACTTTGGTCTGGTTGTTGTCTCTTTGACACATTCCCAATTTCCATTCTCAATTTTATAAATCGGTTTTTGCTGCTGAGATGTTCTTCAACTTCGTACTGTATATGGTCTTTTTAACTTTTTTATTCGAGCATCCATGATGAGTTTTTAGTTGACGAAACATGCGTCTGGCGCAAATACAAATTTCCCATCTTGGTATATATGATGAGTTTATTCCATACTACCTACATACAGAATTTCCTATTACTGATTCAATAAGTTAAACACGAATATCTATCAGTAGAAGCATTTTTATACATGTTATAATCGATAGCCCATCGTTCCTTTGAAGGATCAAACGCCGCTGGTATACACTTGAATAGCAGTTTACAAAGTCTGTCAATTTCAAATTTACACTGAAACATAGATCTCTGGATAAAACATCAATTATTGACAAATAAAGGACACGAAAAAAATATGCATATAGCGAAAATGCTGGTATAACTGTATTTTTTATTTTCATCGGACAAATTTTATGAATTGTGCATATGTCATATTTCGTGTGCATATTATATATACTGTACATACAAATGTATTAAAGATATCAGGCGTAATACTTTCGTACGTTGATATGAAAACGCGTTTAATTGTTTAGTTTATTCGAAAGATGAGCCATTGTCACTACGTTTTCTAGTTTGAATACATGGCATTAATTGCCAGTGAGTTTATTACTAGTTTACATTGTAGATTTTAAGAATGATATTCGTCGTATCTCTCTTGATTAAGTTGTCAATATTTCATCTCGTATTGATCTTTCTAAGGTTCTAATTGATCATACTGAACACTGTTTAATGAAAACTTAGTACCTAAGAAAATCATCCACCTTTAATGAAGAACTGTCGTACATGGAGTGAAAAGAGGGGTGTGATTAAATAAAACACTATCTA